GTTAAAGAAAACCTATCTCTTTCTTATAGGTACAATTCGATTCCAGATCCCCGCCATCGCTGGACAATCTCGAAGCACATGTATGATGGTCTCTACTCCTCCCTTACACACTTAGCAAATATCAGTATCACCAATGTGTCTCCTCTTCCTCTCTGCGTACGTCATAATAACTTGATTAGCCACCAACCAAAGAAATACCTTTACCCTTTCCGGAGCTACTACCCTCCAAACTCGGGAAAAGAAAGAGTACATATTATGCCTTAGTGATTCATCTCTTGTCAACAGTTTGTAGGCTGATTTAACTGTAAAATCCCCATTCGCAGCCCCACTCCACGATAATCTATCATTTACTCTGGTCACTGTATCAACAACTACTGCCGTCAGCTCTAACTTTGTGGTCGTCGAGACATATGGTGAAATTCGTGCCATCTCACCCCCACTCCACATCTCTCGGACCGTCCATGTTGCATACCCCTCAGGTAAATCACTTTCCACAGCTCCAATAAGTGACTTTCCTGATAACCATTTATCTGTCCAGAACTTATTGTTATTACCATCTCCAAGAACCTAGAACTTAATGTATGACTCTGAACCATTGCCCAAATTTTTAAACAATGTGGAACATTGTATACATATTTTTTTTTCATCGATTGAGTACTATATGTCCGTTTTTTAAATTTTGAATCACATTATATGCAGATTATTATATTAATTATATGTATTTTACATAAATTCAAAATAAATTAAATATAATATCATATACAAGTAAAAGAAGAACCATATATTAATGTTTAAATTAGGTAGAGAGGTTTTAGGAAATTAGCAATTAATCAAATTTAGAAAAGAAAAAAATCAATTTGTTACCATATTTAGAAGCCATAATTTCTAAAGAATTGTTTCAAAAATAATTTTTAATATTAATTAATAGATAAACATGTATAACAATGACATTCTCTTGTAAATAAGTGTCAACTCAAAGATTTATTTCATATATGTACTTCAAAAATGTATATATATATATATATATAGATTTAAATTGAAATGGAACAATGAAAGATGTATGTATAAGATATATAGATTTATAAGATCATTTGCCATTCTATTGTTTTTAAAAAAATTTTACATAAAAACTTAAAATTCATTCTCAAAATTCATCAATGTTCTATAACGCATATACTACTAACTCAAGTATTCTTTTAATGTTGTCTTTTTCTACATTTTACCTTATTTTCCACAAATTTATATTAAACAATTAACAACAAATTATCTTATAATAGTTTATTTTAAAATATTAAATGAATACTATTCGAGAAGCAAAATGTAATAAAATTATTAAAATGACATTGTAAATTGAGGAATTGTTAGAAACGCTTTTTTCAATACCTCTTTTCAAAAATATAACTAACCTACGTAAAATCTTACCAAAATGTCCTTAAAAATCTGAGATTTACCTAAGTACGTATGTAACATTATAAAAGTATACAAAACTACCTTTATATGTATAAATACATTATTAAAACTTATAAATACCTTACAAAATCTTATACATATCTTATAAAACTTTATAAATATGTTATATAAATACGTTATAAAATCTTATAAATACTTAGATCGAGGCTTGAGTAATACTTACTATCTAGAAGTACCTCATAAATCTTTTCAGGTTTAATGAGACGTATTTTTTAAAATACACAGAAGAAGGAGACATTTTTTTTTAAATGGCATACCAAAAACGGCATTTTCAAAAATAAAATAAAATAATAAGGTCATGCAAATTATTTATTATAAAGTGAAGGGATAATATGAAATAACTAATATAGCATCTTATCTATTTCTAAAATATTTTAATTTTTTTTATAACTTTGAATGATGAAAAAATCAAAGACAAAATTTAGGATTTTTTTTTTTTTAGCATTTAAAGACAAAGAAAAAGGACCACATGTCGTGAAAAAGAAGTTAAAAACTTCAAAAAACGTTATCTACACTTTTGTTATAGAAAAAAAAGAAGGAGAAGATGATGATAGAGTTGAAGGATAAAATCTAATATTTGAGATTATGATCACTGATTCTTCGTTGGAAGATGGGTATTTTTTCTTTTCAAAAAACGTTACTATTTATTCTTTGTTGACCTTTTTCCTTCAGAAAAAGTTTTATTACATACTAATTTTTATATTCAAAATAAATTCCATAATGTATATGTCAATACTATCTAATTTTAGCCACTTTATACGTACTTTACCTTTTTTTATAACAAAATTCATAAACTGATAACAAAAGGAATAACTAAACTGTTAAACAAATTTATGTATAATTATTTGGAAGGACATCAAAACCTATTATTGTATTATTTATTTTGCAATTACATTTTTAATCAGTATTCCACGCATCGCGTGGTTTTTGTTCTAGTATTCAATAAAAAGAGGCTTATTTGTTACAGAGAGACAATTTTGGGCCAAATTTGTTGTATAACTAGATAAGGAGCCGTCCGATGGACGGGTTTAATTTCTTAAACTTAAAATCAAATTTAACAAAAAATTAATTAACAACGTTGTTAGTAGTTTTATTTCAAAAGTAAAAACAATATTTACTTTTTTATTGTTGCAGTGTTTCTTTCACCACTAAAATTATTTCGAATGAAAGATATATCACATAGCAATAACTCATAGTATACTTATATGAAGAACTAAAATTAAAAATATTCATCATAAAATTGGCGAATGAAACCAAAATGGTTTTTAATTAGACACGTTAAAAATATAAAGATGATAAATCGACTAAATCCCTTAGCCTTCGAAGCTAACGTTGCGGATTCGATTCTAATATACTCGATTGCAATGACTTTATAATCAATTAATAAAAATTGATAAATTCAAAAAATTATAAGCACAATGATATATGAATCTTATATAATTCAAATATGAACATATAAATTTAAATAATCAATTTTGAAATAGTATAATTAAATTCAAAATATCAAAAACAAAGAAGAAGCATATATGGTTCTTACATATTCAAGAATTTCAAATAGACAATATAAAACTTTACTTAAAATCATCACATATTTCTAATTAGAAAATAAAATTGATATAAATAATGTAAATTTGTAATTTAAATCATTACACATGTCATTATCTAAAATTATCAGAACTATGATATATTATAAATCTTATATAATTTAAACTGAACATGAAAACCAAAATAAATAATTTAAAGATACAATATTTAAACTAAAAATAAAAATTATAAACACGATGATATATGAATCTTTGATAATTTAAATATGAAAAGAGAAATTAAAATCAACAATCTAACAATACTACAATCATAATTGAGGACAAACAAAAAACACAGTTAAGTAAAAAAATATTACAAAAAAGGAAAAAAAAATTGATCTCTCATATTTCTAATTGAGAAAATAAACTCAAATAAATAATATGAGGATTAGTTTAATGAAATCATCATGTATTTCTAATTGGAAAGGAAATTGAGATAAATAATATCAAATTTTAAATTAAATCATGACGCATGATAAAATCTTTGAATGATAACGGTTCATGATACTATTAATTACTAACTTTAAGAAACAAAAACATCATATTAGTTATATAATAACATATGTTTCCTTTTTAATTATAAAAAACGTAATTTCCTTATTATTATCTTTTGACATTTTAAAATTGTTTATAGAAATATTAATTATTTACAGTTGTCTTTTTTTTTTAAAACGTCTAGATTTATTATTTATTGCAAATTATGAGAAATGTTACATAGACGATTCTACAACAGACAATTCCTTCCGACTCTTATTAGATCCACGACGGACGATACTTCCTTCTTCATGCTCTTGACGGACACACCTTGAATGATCCACGACCTGATGACACTTCTCTCTCTGCGTAGAATCCTGGCGAACGGCTATAATTGTACATCGCTGGAGATCTCCTGCACATTTGCCTCCATTAATCTGCAAATTTATTGATAAATCGCAGTACCCGAAACTCGAATCCCAGACCTCTTAGTGTAAATGCATTAATTAACCATTGGTAAACCAATGGGCCAAGGGGGCTTCCTTACAGTTATCCGTATAATTATATTTTATATTTTATTTATAATTACTTATAATTATCTTTTTTTTTAAAGTAAATTTTTGTTTTACACGTGTCAAAATCTAAAATCGATAGATTTGGTATGTGTCACGATCCTATGAGTTACTAACTTTGAAAACCATACTTTATATAATAAGATATATCTTACAAATAATAAATTTAAGTAATAACCAAAAACAATATATATGTAAAACGTGAAAACATAATCTTAGTTATGTAAAGTTAATGTATTGACAACGACTTGGTTAGTAAATATATAAATATAACATATGCATGATACGTATTGGCAAAGACTTGGAATATAACGCAGACTTAGGTTTTGTAAATAGATTAATATAACGTAGCCACGTAGGCATCATACCTATTGACAAAACAGAATGATGTTGAAGCAATGGTGTAAAATGGTATTTTTTTAAAGAGATTTTTGGTTTGGTGAAAAAGTAGGAGACTATCTATTTGTTTATATAGTAGTGAGTACTTAGAATAATTATCTTTTTTAGAATTGTTAATTTCCTTATAATTATCTTTTTTACTTTTTAAAATTTGAATTTTTTACAATTCTCTTTTTAAATTGACAAAAGGAAATTATCGTTTTACATATTTTTATTCAATAAGATTGTTTAAAATTATTTTATTTTATTTACACTATAATAATTATCTTATTTACATTTTTAAAATTGTTTAGTTTCCTTATAATTATCTTTTTTACTTTTTAAAATTAATTTCTTACAATTATCTTTTTATAGCTTTAAAATTAATAAAAGGAAATTTTTGTTTAACACGTGTCACAATCTGAGATCGATAAAATTACCACAAGTCACGATCCTATGAGTTATTGACTTTGAAAACCATACTTTATATAATAAGACGTGAGAGTGTGAGCTTAAACGGAGATGAGATGAGACACTTTTGATTTACTCTTTATGACTGCAACAACAAGACTTGCTCGTCTGCTGAAATTTGTCTGTGCATTCCATTATCACAACATATTAATCAAATATTTTTTTTTTTTTGAAGAAAACATATTAATCAAATATTAAAACAAAAAACAGAGAAAGGAACACATAAACTTAAAAATGAAAACAAATCCGACTCCTCTATATATGTTTTCTCTTTTCTATTTTTCCCAGTGTTGAATTGTATCTTTAAGATTTTAAGATTCTTTCTTTTTTCTCCTCGTCTCTCTATCTTTGTTTTGCAAATATCTCCTTATCTGCAATTAATTCTAATTAAACATTGACAATGCACAAATTTAAAATTAATTAAAGATGAAAATGGCTTAAAAATTTCTAACCTCCTCCATCGATGCTCATCAACATGAAGGGACCTCCAAGATTTGGAATAGCCCGCATTCTCTAATCTTCCAATTGCTATCATTCTCTGTTTTGACCTCAAAGAAAAGCTCAGTGGAAGTCACCTTCTCTGCTCTAACTTCAAATATGTAGATATGCTCTGTTAAAACTCGATCTATATAACACTTCCTTGGTTTACGCCGAACATTGAGACCATTCTGATTGTCCATGATGTCATGATATACATTTATCGAACTCCAACCATCACCAGTTTCTTCATTAACCTTAACAAACATGAAACAAGCCTTAAATCTCAAGGCTCTAGGAAGAGGCGACTCATTCAACTTGAATTCCACGAGACCCCCAGCAGTAGCTCGGTGATTGAAGCAGGCAGGCACTTGTGTACCCGGTAAGATCGCATATTCCGAAGTCGATGTGTGCATGATGAGGTCTCTGGCTTCTTGATTCAAATTGAAGCATTTGGGGAATTTGAGATGAATATCTGGATTGTTAAAGGTACAATCCAGTCGCTCAAGGGATTGACAATTGTCTGCATCTATGTAAGCTAGGGAATCTGAAAATTGTGGGAGTGATACCAGATTGTTGCAGTTGTAGAGTCTAAGCACACGTAAACGAGACATTCCCTTGACCCATGGAGCAACCTCTTGTATATCTTCGTTCAACTGCAGCTGCGTGATGATGTCAAGAGCATGCGGGAATTCCTTGAGGCTTTCAAAGTATGAAATCCCAAAGTCATAAAGACGAGACCATGACATGATCGACAAAGGAACTTCTTTTATTGCAGTTCCTGTGAGCCTGAGATACGCAATGTTTGTGGAGATCTCAGGAAATCTTTTCAACTGGGAGCAATTTCTGAGATCAAGTGTACGGAGAGATTCCAAGTCGATATTTGTTGGAAGAACCTCTAGCTTTGAGCATCCATACATTTTCAACTTAGACAATTTTTGAAGTTTTCCTATAGCGGATGGAACCTCCACAAGACTTGAGCAGTTGGATAGATCAAACTTTTTGAGTTTAGTCATATCTCCAATAGAGGAGGGGAGTTTCACGAGACTTGAGCATCCACTGATATACAATTCCTTCAGATTTGTGGCAGTTCCAATAGAAGGAGGGAGCTCTAGTAGACTTGAGCAATTTAGGAGATTTAATTCCCACAATTTACTCGCATTCTCGATACTGGGAGCTCCACAACACGTGAACAATTTTTTAGAGACAATTCCTGGAGATTAGAGGCATTGATAGAGGAGGGAAGCTTCACAAGACTTGAGCAATTATCAAGATACAACCGCTCAAGTTTGGATGCATTCCCAATAGAGGGAAGTTCCACTAAACTTGAGCAATCACGAAGATACAGTCGCTCAAGTTTGGTTGCATTCCCAATAGAAGACGGAAGTTCCACTAAACTTGAGCAATATTGGAGATCTACTTCTTCGAGATTAGTTGCTGTTGAAAGATCGGGAAGCTCTTTCAGATCTCTAGAACCACCCAAATCCATCCATTTGAGATTTTTAAGTTGCTGCATTTGACAAAGAAGATCATGTTCATACGATTGGCCTATAAATTTGGAGTTTGTTAAGAAAAAACATTTTCGGAAACAAATTATAGATTTAAAAAAAAATTGAAAGTTTTCATCAAAACTACTTACTTTAGTTCCTTCCCATAGCTTCTGAAGCTTGCTGTCTTGCAGATTTAGTTCGACGAGAAACTCAGGATTAAAAGTAGAAGGCAAACATATATCCTGGAAATATCTCCAATTCAGTGATCTAATCTTTTGAGAATGGTAAATCAGACCTTGCAATACTGATTGCAGTCTCTTAGTCTGGCCAAGATCATCACCATAGATTCTAACGAATTGAAAATCATGCATTCTTTCAAGTGCTTTCTCACTTATATTCAATTCTTCCTCAGTCTTAGATAAATCTAAATTTATCCCTATAAAACGTCTACTATCCTGAAATAGAGCCAGAAGAAAATCAGTAATGATGATTAGTTATCAAATAAACTCAATTCATATAGGCGATGCAATGGCAAAACTTACTGATGTATCATAGTCGAACACATCACATATATCTCTTTCACCAACCAAAAGTTGATGTTTCGTAAGGCCATGATGAACGAATTGCTTACGGGATATTTTTCTTCCGAATTGTTGTAGCAGAGTATGCATCTGTATTCTTTCGTATTCAATAGATATGAGAGATTTCTCATGTAAAACGTGAAGACCATGCCTCACATGTGAGAATTTGTTTGCCAGAGCCTCTTCCACTCTATGAACTGATGCAAAGTTGAAAAGGCAGGCTATATAAAGAAATAGATATTTATCTTCGTCACATAAGGCATCGTAACTGAACTGTATAATGCTCCCTATTTTTCCGTCGAGGCTAGCTTTTAACCTTGGTAGTGCCCTTTCCCACTCTGGCTTGGACATCCCCCGCAGAGCGGAGCCTAGAACCTTCAATCCCAAAGGGAGTTCACCAGCTAGAGCGATAACTTCCCAAGCAAGGTTACGGAAACCTTCATGTGGTTGTTTCTGACCAAAGGCATTCATACAGAAGATTTGAAAAGCCTCATCACTTGATGGAAAATCCACTTTATAAACTTGATTGATCCCATGGGCCTTCAAAACTCCAAGATCTTCTGTTGTGATAATAATCCGACTTCCAGGACCAAACCATTGAATTTCTTTCGCCAAGGCTTCTAACTGTCCTAAGTGGTCCACTTCATCAAGAACGAGAATCACTTTCTTGTCTTTCAAACGTTCTTGTGCCACTCCTAAATGAGAAATTGTGATATCTTTATGCTTGATCAGCTGAGACAACATTTGGGTTTGTAGTTGCAATTGTGCAGTGTACTCATCGAAACAAGGTCTTGGATAGCATCCTTTGATATTGACCATGATTGTACTAAGTTGAAATCTGTCGGAGACTTGGTTAAGCAGAAATCTGGCGATAGTTGTCTTACCAATCCCAGGCGGTCCCCAAATCCCAATCATCCTTACTTCATCCAAATCTAGGCGTAAGAATTGTTCCATCCTATCCATATGAGCTCTCATCCCTACTAACCCTTCGAAATCTCTTGATGGTATGGATAAATTCAACATGTTTGAAACATCAATGGATATCTTTTCAATCATCTCCGCTTCATTGCTCCTAACATTGATTGATATCGAGTAAAATTGTTACTTAGTCTAGTCATGAAAAATTCTCATATACACACATCCAAAACATATGCATTTTCTTGTCTTGATATTTATTTGAAAGCTACAAATAAACTCTAATAAGTAAATATTAATTAAGGAGAGTAGAAATCAAAAAGACAAACCAGTTGCGAGAATGCTCTCCGGCGATTATGGCCACATCCTTCAAAGCTTTTCTCCATCTCTCAATATGCTCTTTGGTTTTACCCTTACATGTTTTTCTGAAGGCTTTTCCAAAATCTCCGGTTTGTTTCTTTATGTCAGTTGGATCCACTTCATAAAAAATAGTCATGACTATCTGACCCAACACTTCCCTGCACTTCATGATTTCCGCTAATTCATCAAGACACCAGGAAGAAGAAGCATAGTTCTTGGAGAGCAAGACTATCGCAATCTTCGATCCTTTGATAGCTTCTTTGAGCTCAGGACCGATCGGCTTACTCCTCTCTATATTATTATCAATGAATGTGTCAATTCCCTTTCTTCTGAACGATTCCATGATGTGGCTAAGAAGGGTTCTTCGGACATCTGCCCCATGGAAGCTCGGGAATACATCATGTTTCCAGATTCGAGACACTGAAGTTGGAGGAGATGGAAGAGATAAAGAAGAAGCTTTAGTATCTTTGCTCTCTTGTTGGAATTTGAATTTTCTGAAAAGCATGAAGAAACCTATAGCGGCTGCGACCAAGACCAGGAAAAAAGAAGCAGAATTCATTAGTATGGTGAAGGATGGAGCAAGATCCTAGATGGATGGAGGAAGGATTTTAACAAAGAAGAAGAGATTTCGTGATTTTAACAAAGGACCAATGACGATTCTATTGACAATATAGTGAGATTTCGTGGAAAAAATGTTGCAAACGACAAAATCACTGTTCTCGATAAGGGAGATATGACTATAATTCAAACTAGTAATGTCCCCACTATTATCATCTCAAGTAGGCCTGGACGTTTGGGTAAATGGTTCGGTTCTTAGTATTTTGGTTCTGAAATTTAGGAACCATATTGGAACCAAATCAAAATCGGTTCGGTTCCTCTACGGTTCCTCTACGGTTCGGTTCGGTTCGAGTAATAAATTTTGGAACCAAATTATTTTGGGTATTTTTGGAACCGAGAAAACAAAACAATCATAATACAATATTCAAATGCAATTAGGTAAGTATGCAATCACATATTAGTAAGCATACCATTACAAATCCAAAAAATATTCGAAACTTGGAAAGTGTTATGTCAAAAGACACCCAAAGTTTCAAAGATACCGAAAAACACAAGTTTTTAAGACACCAAAATAACCCGAAATTTAAATCTGTTTCAAATTACAATCTTCTCCTTTTTCTTCTCTCCAAAGATTGTATCAAAAAACACCACAAAACCTGAAATAAAATGTACAAAAAGACTTTTAATACAATGAAATGAAATTTGAATCACAGAGAATAGAACTAGAGAAAGGGAAAAAATGACCTGAATAGATACTAGAGTCCATCACCATCTTCTTAACAAAACGTGAGTCAGCTTAATTCCCTTCGCAGCCAAACTCAAACTCTAAACATCAAAACAGACAATAATTAAGACACTTAGACTACACAGATTTACAAGTATTCAAGAAAATTGACAAGAGATATTACCTTTCTCAAGCTTGTCTTGATCTTCAATCTCAGATATTACAAGGTTTCTCTTTAGGTTTATGAAATATATATAGTGGGTTGTTGGGCTTGGGTTTAGGTTTAAGTTTGTATGGATTTGGGCTTTGGGATATATAGATATAGGTAAATGGATTATATTTTTCGGGTACCCATTTGGATCTCGGTTCTTACCCGAACCGAACCAATACCCATAGATCTGAAATTCAAGATCCAATCGATATTTTTATTAGAACCAGAACCGAACCATACCCATCAATTTCGGTTCGGTTCGGTTTGGTTCTATGTGGATCCATATTTGTGCCAAGGCCTAATCTCAAGCAACAACACTTCACGTCCACACTTTCTTTTTTTCTATTTCTCTCCCTAATAATAATAATGATAGAACAAAAGAGTTCATATTATTTAATCGTTATTAGATATATACACTTTATACAGTCCCGTCACATATACTCCCTGTTCTAAAAATCCCCGCCTAACCCCGATTACTCCCCGCTTAATCGCTAGGCCCACCCTCTCCGCCTCGATTAATGACTAATCCCCTAAAAAATCAGTAACCCGATTATTCTCCGCCTAATCCGATTACTTCCCGCCTAATCCGATTATTTTCCGCCTAATTTTACATACCCCGATTATTTTTTAGATTGCAAGTATAAAAAAAATATTTTATTTTTGTTATTCAATCATTTGAATTGGGAGTTTGTGATGTTTTACATAACTTGTGTTCAAATTTTAATAAAAATCATAAAAAATTGTTTTTACTGTAATTTTGAAAACAATATTGGATTAATATATTTTAAGCATATTAAAATAACCCTAAAACTAATCCCCGATTAATCTCCGATTTTAATCCGATTTTCCGATTAATCGCTAGGCCCATGCCGAGCGCCCGACTAGCGCCTAGCGATTTTTCAAACAAGGCATATACTTGTATAGTTAGTTAGAGATTATACTTGTATAGGATACTCACATGTACATTCATTCTAAGTTTAATGAGAAAATACACTTTATTTTGTCTCTCTCTCTCTTAATATGGTATCAGAGCTATGAGGAATTCTGCTTCCCCCATTGTTGTTTCTCATTCTTCTTCTCGAGCTTGATTCATCAGCCATGAGCATTCCAATTTCTCAGCTGATCTTCGATTTCTTGTCTCAAGAGTGCCACCCTCTATGATACACGAATCTGTTCTTAAGAATCAGCAAGATAATTCCTCACAAACTATTGAAATCATTGAAGCTAGCAATCTCAATATTAATGATCCATTAGTAGATCACTTAACAAAGGTTTTTTCAAGGAAAACACCAACAAGATTCAAGCTTCACATCAGTTCTCACTCTATTGACATCAATGATGATGCTTAAATGTAATAAGAGAATTTTCAATTCTATGTGCAAAAACAACAAAAGGTTCTGGGATTGGGACTTTGAACTTGTAGTATCATCAACTTTGCGCAGTGATACTATCCAGCAAAGACTCACAAGCATCTTGAAGCAAGTCCAGTACCTGTGAAAGAAACAAGTAGACAAGTCACTGATCAGGATTCGAATTTCCAAGTGAGTTTTGTCCTAACAAAACAGATCAAACAGTAAAATTCTCAAATAGGTCACTTGGGAGTGATAGTGGCATGCCATTTTGAAAGTCTTATAAACCATTTTGAAAAGACAATATAGCTGAAATTTTATAGGTAGCATCTGCCTAAACCAAAAGTTACTAATCCACAATCAGCTTAAATATCTAATGGTAATTACCTTCTCAAAACCTTGAGCTCCACCATAATATGGATCAGGAACAAACTTGTCATTGTGTTTCTTGCAATACGAACACATTAGCTTAACCTGAAAATTTCAAAGAAAGTGTTTTGAAAATAGCCTAAAAAGAGTTCCAAAGTCCAGCAAACACTAACGGTACCTTCTTATCTGCATCGGGCGGGAAATTCCCTCTGGCTTTCCATACATTATAGGCCTTCAATATATCCTCTGCAGACATCAAACATTCAAATTCATATTCATTTCAATAATCCATAACAAATCAGATCTCAACTTGCAAATTCCTAGTCCTAGGCTGAATCCCATTTGCATAGAAATCGATCTAACCACACAATTCCTCTATAACGTTGAATAAATTACTCAATCTTCTACCTTTGTTTTGTTCATCCATTGCAAGAATGAGATCAAAGTCCCTGAAATCAGATGCCTTAATCGGTCTAGATAATGATGTTATCTCAATCCCACGACGTTTCGCAGCACTTGTCATTCTTGGATCCGCCATATTCCCCTTTTTAAACAACAGTTTCACAAATCAAAAACTGAATCAGGAACATAAATTCCAAGGTCTCCACTAAAAACCTAAAGCCAAAATCAAACATAAATTTCTTACTCCGACCAAATTACATCCACTAATTGTTCCAATCATCATAAAATAGATTACTGTTTTTGTTCTTCCCTTGTAATAAGAGCAGTTTCATATTAAAATTGATTCAGAAACATTAATTTCAAAGTTTCTATAGCTCTGTATTCCGACAAAACTACATCCACCAAAAAACCCTAAAACCAAAACCAAACCTTTCTAGTTTCTACATATAAAACCATCATTCACCAATTGTTCAAATCAAGCATCTCTCATAAACCCTAAAATTAGATTTCGAAACTGAATTATTATTGTTATACCTCGTGATCATCAATGGTTCCAGCGGAATCAATTTTGAATTTGGAATCGAGATCTCTCTTCTTCACAAAATCTCTAAAAGACACCTTCAGCTGCTGGGCTCCGACAAATGTTTCCGAGACAGACAAAAAGAACAGAGAAAGGTTTAGTTTCGCTGCTCTGCGTCGGAGTCGTCGCCATCTAAGGGAAGGAGAAATTCTGGGTTTTTTATCAGATGATCGGAAATTAGAAGGAAGAAAGTAAGTGTGGTGGCAAAATAGTAAATAGGAAGCGATTGTTGGAGAAGCCGTGAGCTTGGGATAGTAGTAGTGTGACGGAGGAGTATCATTCATTCCCCAGAAAGGCAAAGGAAGAGAGGGGTATAATTGGCAATATAGGCTTTCAAATGTTGGTGTTCATTTGATGAGAGCAGTGTTCAAGAAAGCGCTAGGCGCTAAGCGGGCGGTGACCCAGTGCCTAGCGCCTAGAACGCCTAATCGGGGCCTAAACGATTTTTTAGGCGGTTTAGACGTTTATAACATAAAACATTATCAATATGATATTATATATAAAAGTTATATAAAATATCTATATAAAACTAAAAATTATGAAATTATAAACAAAAATTAGATAAAATATTTATTTATATTTATATTAAACAATATATGAATATTTATAACTATATATATAAATAAAACTCTAATTGAAATTAAAAAATACATTAAACAAGATCTATGTAATTTTAGGCGGTCAAGGCGGTTATCTAGGCGTCGGATGAGAGCCTAGCGCCTAGTCGGGGCCTAGGCGACCGCCTAGACCGCTTTTTAGAACACTGGATGAGAGTCGTTCACACGGACTCTTTGAGGCCGTTGAGGCTAATCAAAATCTCTCCTTCTAACAAAATAATCAAAGTGAGTAAACCATGAGAAAGAAAATGACTATAACGTTACCGTAGAACGTGACGAGTAAGTTGTGGACATCTTCAATGGTCCTCCATTGCCGCAATGTTGAGTCCAAGAAATTTAACGACATATACCTTGAATCCAACCATTCATGGTGAAAAGAGCCACGTTGGTGAAGCAAGAGAAGAAAACGCTCAAGATCATCACTCTAAACCCAGATAACAACAATTCGATTACTGTTGTAGAAGTTATTGATTGTTTGATCGAATTGAAAGATAAGATTATTGATGAACCACTTTGCGAGGCAGAAGAAACTTGTGACCCACGGTACCAAAAAAGTGACACTCTCTGGACTGCTAAATTCCAGAGATGGTGAAGCTGCGATTCGTCACATAATAATCACAACCAATTACAAAGAAACACACATAATTTTTTGAAAGTACTGTTTCTATTGGTTTATAAATATACTTAACTACATCTATTACTATTAATTAGAAAATAGACAGTTACAAACTTCCATTCACTATAAATATATATAATATATTAAATTTACTTATTAACACAAATTTAAACTCTAAAATAATAAATTAAGAGACTACAAAAGTGATAATTTTGTTTAATGTTACTAATTTACTATTTTTCCTAACATTTTTTCAATTAAGATATATGTATACTTTACAGTAAAAATATGAATTAAATTTGTTAAAGTTAAACTGTAAATAGAAAAATAATATAGAACTAAAAGCAAATAGTATATGCCACATGGGTCGCCCAGTTACCAACTGTGAACTAAAGGATTTAATCTTAAGATGTTACTAGCTAATTACTAAGAAGTAGTGTGGGGCACGTGCCCCACCTATTCATACTGTAGATCCGCCCCTGCGTCGAGTGATCCGAGATCACTGGCGGTGGCATGCTTTGATCTATCACAGTTTATACAGTAGTACCATGCAGCAGGGAGAGTCATCGTAACAGACCTCAAGGCGAAAGAACGAGTGATGAAACTGATGTACCACGAGAACGTCGAGGTCACCAAGAACGCCCTCTTGTGCATCCAGAGGCTTCTCTTTGGGTGCTAAGTACGCTAGCTTCTTGCAAGCTTGATGGGAACTTTGCATGTTTCTTTATATATGGGAAAGTAACCAAACACACAGATTGTGTTTCCTGTTTTTCCCTGTCCAAACAAAACCTGCTCCACCTTTTTTCCTTCGATTCTAGTACATCATCTGTGTTGAATTGTATTTTCTATTTCCTTCTCTTTTCAAAATTTTCTACATCCACTAGGATTTTCACCAGTGTTGAATTGTTGTAACAATGGACAATTTTATAAACAACGCTAAAGACCCATATAACATGTATGGGACTTACGCAAACGCTTGGACCTGTGTGATTCTTGACCATCCTTTTACCTTCAAGACGCTAGCAATAGATTCAGATGTCAAGAGATATGGGGATCCCAAGAGATTTATGATGAAAGATCTTGACCAGTTCATACAATGGAGAGACTTCTATATATAAGAGGGTTGGTAATGCTTGGAAGAGGGGTTATTTGTTGTATGTTCCACCAAAAACAAGGAAAATAAGCTTGATCGCAGCCATGGCCAATCAACTCAACTTCGATATTTATGACTTAGAGTTGTCTATAGTAAACAACAATTCCGAGCTCTGGCGATAGCTAATTGCGACTGCTAATCGTTCGATTATTGTTGTGGAAGATATTGATTGTTTGATCGAGTTGGAAGATAAGACTTTTGATGAACCACATCTGGAGGCCGACGAAACTTATGACCCACGGTACAAAAAAGGTGACACTGTCTGGACTGCTAAATTACATAGATGGTTTATGGTCAAGCTGCGGCAACGAACTTATCATAATATTCACAACCAATTACAAAGAAAATCTCAGATGCAGCTTTGTTGAATCAAATTTGCCAAAATGTTGATTGTGGGATTCTCTTAAAGGCATAAAGTCTTCCTAATAGTTCCGGAATTAAGATTTTGAACTTGCAATTTCATCAACTTGCCGTAGTGATACTATCCAGTAAACAGTCACATGCATCTTCTACCAAGACCAGTACCTGTCAAAGAAAACAAGTAGACCAAGTAATTAAGAGATCAATATTCAAGTTTCCATGTGAGCTTTCTCCTAACAAAACAGATCAACCAGGAATATAAGCATTTGAATTGAAAGACGCATTAAGAGAAGTGCAAACTAAGCCCCACATCTACCAACCGAGTTAACTGCCCCATATGATGACTCCCGTTTACTTCTTTGCCTAAACGACCTTATATAGTGACTTTATTGACTTACAACTAAATGAGCTCTAAAGTGATGCTTATTAACCTAACTAGAGGAGCAACTTTCTAAAGAACAAACACTAACGGTACTTTTTTATCTTCATCAGGTGGGAAATTCCCTCTTGATTTTGTACATTAAAAGACTTCAATATGTCCTCTGCAAAACATCAACATTCATCAATAACTGAAGTTAACTTCAACTCTTCAAAAACTAAGCACTTCTAACCACATAATATTTTTGGTTGAATGTTGAATAATTACTCTTTACTCTACCTTTGGTTTGTTCATTCATTGCAAGAACAAGATCAAATTCTCTGAAATCAAATGCCTTAATCAGTCTAGATAATGATGTTATCTCAATTCCATGAACTTCAAAGTCGCCACAGCTTCCTAGTGTTGGATTTTCAGATTCTTCTACTCATGACATAGATTCTTCCTTCTTTCCCTCCTCATCTCTATTTTCACTGTCTTTGTTTGTATATATCTCATTTCTGCAAATAACTTCAATTAGAAATTACCCAACAATACACATTGATAATCATACACAAGTATAGCATAAGTAATGCACAATTTTTATTAGTTAAAGATGAAAATGGCATAAAACCTTCTAACCTCCTCCCTCTAATGCCATCTCTGAAGCTTTTATCATGTTCATTAACATGAAGGAACCTCCAAAATTTGGAGTAGCCCACATTCTCCGATCTTCCATTTTCTATTGTATGTTTTGAACTCAAAGACAAGATCCATGGAAGTCACCTCCTCTACTTCGAGTTCAAATGTGTAGATATGCTCTGTTAAAAGTTGATCTATTGTAAAGCCTCTTGGTGTACGCAAAACTTTGAGATCCTTCTGTTCGTCCTTGATGTCAATTTCTACTCTCATCGATCTCTGATCAAAACTCATTTCTTCATTAACCTTAACCAGCATGATACAAGCCTTAAATCTCAAGAATGTAGAAAGAGGTGACTTAGTCAACTTGATTTTCAAGGAACCTTCAGCAGTAGGTCGGTGATTGAAGCAGGCAGGTACTTGTGCACCCGGTAATATAGCATATCTAGAAGTTGATGTGTGTATGATGAGGTCTCTGGCTTCTTGATTCAGTTTGAAGCAGTTGGCGAAGTGGAGACAAATCTTCGGATTGTTAAAGGAACAATCCAGTCTCTCAAGAGACTTACAGTTATTTGCATCTATCCAAGATAGGGAATTTGAAAGCTGGGGGAGTGAAATCAGATTATTGCAGTTGTAGAGTCTAAGTCTACGTAAACGAGACATTCCCTTGATCCATGGAGGAACTTCTTGTATATCTTCCCTTACCAAAACCAGCTCCGTGATGATGTTAAAAGCATGCGGGAATTCCTTGAGGCTTTCAAAGTATGACATCCGAAATTTTAAAGGACGAGACCACGACATGATCGACAAAGGAACCTCTTTGATTCCAGTTCCTAGGAGTTTGAAATCCACAATATTATTAGAAATCTCAGGAAAACTTTTCAATTGCGAGCAATCTGAAAAACGAGGGAAATTCCACAATCCAGTTGCTCAAACTTGTAGTATTAAAGAAAAAAAAACGAGGAATGAATCAACAAGTTTCTAGAATTAAACACTTATCTTCAAATATCTATAAAGCGGCACACTCTCCTCTTCCCCATTCACAATCACCATCATCATCATCTTCAACCTGCTCTCAATCCAAAATTCTCTCTTTTACTAAAACTGTTTCAATATCTCTCCCTCTTCTAAAGCTTCAATCTTCTTCACTTTTCCACAAACAGATAAATAAAAGTTTCAATCTTTGATACTTTCTCGATGGAACTTATCCCCAATCTTTCCGACGACGTTGCTCGCGAGTGTCTCCTTCGCGCCTCCTACAAACAGTTCCCTGTCATCGCCTCTGTTTGCAGAGGCTGGAACCGTGAAGTCTCTCTCTGACTTTTATAACTTCCCTTTTTCGTACTTCAAGATGTTCTGCATGATTCAAACTCTGATGAGAGTTTCAGATTATTTTCTTGTTGATGATCGAGCCTTTGTGGCAGTTTATAGGAGATTGTGATGTTATGCTGAATGTTTTTTTTTTTTTTTTGGGTTGCAGGGGATGTGGGGAGCGTGTATTTTGGTCCGAATCACCCGATGAAATCTCACAGGCTTTGTATGACTCATTATCTTATCCATGCATATGGTTTCCATAGCAAGATGGAAGTTTATGTCAGTCTCTTGCTCATCTTTCATGTTTCTTGTTCTTGATCCTTTATTCCTTTTGTTTACGATCTCACTGTACATCATTTTATGTTCTCTATTGTTTCAGCGTCCACACAAGGCATATCCTATTGAGATGGCTCAGTTCCATTCTCCCGACTACGTGGAATTCCTGCAACGAATCAATCCAGAAAATCAAAACTTGTTTCCCAATGAAATGGCTAGATGTAAGTTGTGTATCTTCATTAATTGGTTTTGCAATCTACATGTTCTGCTGAAATAAGTTACTGTGATGCAGATAATCTTGGAGAGGATTGTCCTGTCTTTGAAGATTTGTTTGAATTTTGTCAAATTTACGCCGGCGGAACCATAGGTAAATACACGTAGTTGATATTAATGTTTGCTTGTCACTTTTGAGAAATGACTGACTGCAAATTTTGTCTATAGATGCTGCACGCAGGTTAAACAACAAACTCTGTGACATTGCTATAAATTGGGCGGGCGGGCTGCACCATGCCAAAAAATGTGATGCATCTGGGTTTTGTTACATCAACGATCTTGTACTAGGAATTCTTGAGTTGTTAAAACACCATCCCCGTGTGCTATACATAGATATAGATGTTCATCACGGTGATGGAGTTGAAGAAGCTTTTTACTTCACTGACAGGTACAGTTACAAGTCCATAACACTACTTCTCGAAAGTTGTTTCTATAGAAATTGATTGCTAATATCTTTGAATTTTGTTATGGCAGAGTAATGACTGTTAGCTTTCATAAGTTTGGGGATAAGTTCTTTCCAGGGACAGGCGATGTTAAGGTAGTAATATTCAGAATTCATTTCCTGATTTGTGAGGACGGTTTCAATGTGTTTGGATGAATTTTCATTGTGATGTTTTTTTTTTTCTTTTAAAAGGAAATAGGAGAAAGAGAAGGGAAATATTACGCCATTAATGTGCCGCTGAAGGATGGAATTGATGACAGTAGTTTCAACCGTCTGTTCAGGACAGTAAGTTCTTGAACTGAAACAATCAAATTCTCAATGCTTTCACTGTTTTTGTGTGTTTGATCATTTTCTTTGATCTCTAGATAATTTCCAAGGTTGTTGAGATATATCAACCGGGTGCAATTGTTCTTCAATGTGGGGCAGATTCATTGGCCAGGGATCGACTAGGATGCTTTAATCTCTCTATTGATGGTGCTTTTTCTTCTTGTAATCAAAATCTCTTTCTCTCTTTCAATCTCTCGTTTGCTAGTTTCTTTGCGAATCGGGTTTTAAAATGGCTTCTGCTATGCATTTTCCAGGACATGCCGAATGTGTTAAATTTGTGAAGAAGTTCAATCTTCCCTTACTGGTATTTAATCTCTCTTGACTCTATATGTACGACTCCTTTCTGTAATCATAAGTTCGTTGATGACGGAGTCAGTTTTTTACTGATTGTTTATTAGGTTACAGGAGGTGGAGGATACACAAAGGAGAATGTAGCTCGGTGTTGGACCGTTGAGACTGGCATTCTTTTGGACACAGAACTTCCTAATGGTTAGTAAATTTCTTAATGTTTGTTATAGTACGGTTAACGTCACATGCTCACGGGTTAATTGTTCTGCAGAGATTCCTGAAAATGACTACATCAAGTATTTTGCGCCGGATTTTTCTTTGAAGATACCAGGTGGTCACATTGTAAGGAGCTCTTATGTCACTTATAGTTCCTCATTGCTTTAACAAAATCTATATACTTGATGTTTTGTGTTTTGAAATTGAAACAGGAGAATCTGAATACCAAATCATACATCAGTTCGATCAAAGTGCAGATTTTGGAGAACTTGCGATACATTCAACACGCTCCAAGCGTACAGATGCAGGAGGTAAACTCGGATCATCGTAGGACAACTGATGCTTTAATCAATCTTCTTTTTTTTGGTGTTATCTTAATACTGATCAGTTTTTTACTTGAATTTCATAGGTTCCACCGGATTTCTACATACCGGATTTTGATGAAGATGAACAAAACCCGGATGTACGTGTGGATCGTAAGTATCGATAACCACCTTGAAATCTAATCCCTTTGTTTTCTCAGTGACTAATGTTCGATTGTAAACGGTTTGATTGTTTCAGAGCGTTCGCGAGATAAGCAGGTCCAAAGAGACGATGAATATTTCGATGGGGACAATGATAATGATGCTTCGTAACTTCGATTCTTAGAACAGAAGACAATCCATTGTTGTTTATTTTTTGTTTGGTTATGAGAATTGTAATGATAACAACATTTTAACGGCTATTGGGCACCAAAACCACTACTGATTGATTCCAGCTTCTTCATCTTTTTCTCTTGGTGTATATTAATGGAGCTTTTCTTGTTCATTACTTCGTCACTGTTACAGTTTTTGATTTACTTTTTTTTTCAGTTTGGTTATCCAGAAGTTCAATTTTGATCAAATTCAATTCAAGTTATATAAGACACTAAGAGCATCCACAGTGAATAAACTTGAGTATATATGTTAGAATATTTTTTATGTGATAATAAAAAAAAAGAGAGAAGAGGGAGAGAGATAATAGAGAAATAATAGAAAGGAGAGTGAGACATGTGGCACTTACACCCAATTGTAAGTCTATACCCATCTTTTTTCCCTTTCATCACTATTTGTTTTTTTTTGTTTTTTTTTTAATTATAACACCCGAACAAAAGTTGCGCCTCTATGTATGGCCTAAGACCATACACAGTGGGATAATTTTTAGAGGGGTGTGAGTAATAAAAAAATCGAAAATAATGGAATAGTGCGTTTGGAGACTGAATCCGGATGTGTGATAACACTCGGGTGTTATCTCACTTGTCTTCCTATGAGTGGTTGCGATGAATAAAGGCAGCAGTTTTAAGCTTGACAACGATTTCGGTTAGTCTTTTTCTTTATTTTTAAACTTAACCTCTTAAGTTATTTTAATAATAAATTACCACTAACACACATCCTCCCACTTGTCCCATTGTGTATGCCCTAAATATGCATAAAAAAAATAGATTAAAAACACTAATGAGAAATACTTTTGAATAGAAATAATTTAGGTAGATCTGACTGAAATCGAATGTCAAAAAACAATGTAGCGAATAATTTAACAAATAAAAATAGATTTGAAAACCAAAATTCAATGATTATTAACAAAATCTGAGAAAGAACAGAAAAAAAATACTGATCAAGAATTTGAGGTTTTCTTGATAAAAATTGCATCAGAGTCATGGAAGTTTATGATTTCCAACACTACTCAATAATTTGAGCTTCTTTTATCAATGGTGATTAACTCATCATTTGCAATCAGATGGGTATACAACTATAAAAAATCATTAGAAAGAAGTGAAACAAAAAACACAATTGTATAAAAGAAACAGAGAAAATGATAAGCAAATCGAGAGAATGCAGAATTGGTTTCGTGGTGCAGAATTGCAGATGTAATTTATTGGGGGCTGCGAGTGATGTAGGGTTTTACATATATATTTATACGAAGGTGGTCAAAATCTAACCCTAGGGTTTAATGTGTTAACCATGGTTAAGTTAAACAATAAAAATTTAAAATTCTGTTGTGAGGAATATAATAATCCCAACAGAGATTTACCACTAGGTGATTCGTTTTTTCTTTTTCTTTTTTGGTTTACTACGATTCGATTTTGTTTGGATTTTGATGGTTTCAAGTTTATTGGTTCGATTTCTTAGATTTAAATTTTTTTAAAAAAAAAGCTTCTAAAGCTTTGAATGATTACGGGTACGGCGATAAAACCGTTTATAGATTAAATTACCTTTGGTTTAATAATATTTATAGATTATAGTTTATGACTGCTGGCAAAAAAAAAATAGTCTTAAACTAAATCTGACAGCTTTTACATAGAAAATTTGGTATCTGACAGATTGTTGTCCGCCCAAAAATAAAATAAAGTTTTTGGAATTTCCATGGATGAATTTCCAAATTTTTATGGCTTAACATAAAAATTCAATGAAAAATGTTCCAAAATCTCCCAAAAGGAGTTTCAAAGTCAAGCAACAACACCAATATTAGACAAATTCCCTCTTTCTGTCCATACACATCCAATATACCCTCTGCAAATATACATCAAAATATATCAACCATGGATTATTAATTTCAACACTCCATGACTAAATCAATCACACATCTCAACTTCCAAAAGAAATTGATTAATGGGCTTAACCAATCTTTAATTAATCAATCTTTAATGGGCCTTTTCGGCTTCCCAAAGGCCCAAATATACATCAATTCCTGCAAAAAAAAAAACCGACGGGTCCATCTTCGACCAACGGAATCGATTCGCCGGTAAACACAAAACCTCCGTAGAAAGATCCAACGGCAACGTCAGACCCACCGAAGAAGACGACACGAAGGCGAAAAAAGATAGGGATAATATCGTAATTTCCAGTAAATAGAAAGCTGTCTTCTTCTTCTTCTTCTTCTTCTTCTAACTTCCTTCCACGCTTCAGATCCGAGTTTAAGAGAAGCTCTCTCAATCTCTCTTGATCATTCACTTTTGTCTTCTCCTTCAGGTCAAAAACTCAATTTCACTTTTCTTAAATCAAATCCTTTCTTTATTCTATCATTCTGATTCAATCGATTTTGAAAGTATTTGAATTGCGTTTGCTACTTGATCTGAGTTTTTGAAAATTTTCTTCTTCACATTTCATGGATGCTTGTAGATCGTGTTTGTTTGATTGAAAAAATAGTCACAATTCAGAAAGTTATGCTTTGTTCTGTCTTACAATTGTAGGGTTTTGGATCAGTAGTGTTCAATAATCTCAAGTGTTGTTTAAGCTTCTGAACTATATCCATGGATCATGCAGAACTAACTTTAGAGCAGGTTTGTGATTTTATTTTGCATACATTTACTTATTCATTAAGTAAGTAAATCTGCAGAATTGATTCAATCTCTGTTGCTGTTTGTAGGTATTGAAAAGAGACATACCATGGGAGACTTACATGACAACTAAGCTGATTTCAGCAACAAGTCTCCAGCATTTAAGGCGCTACGATAAAAAACCCGAAAGTGCAAGGGCACAGTTGCTGGATGAAGTAAATCTTCTACAAAGCTTTCTTCTGATTAGTGGTTGAAGTTTTGTATAATGATCATGCAAGCGTTTACCTTGTTGTTATGAAGTGATAATATGTGGTGGTGTTATTGCAGGATGGTCCAGCTTATGTTCATCTGTTTGTTAGCATTTTACGTGATATATTCAAGGAAGAAACAGTTGAATATGTTTTGGCTTTGATTTATGAAATGCTCTCAGGTAAATGGAACCTGAAGATATGTGCTTTTAAATTTTCTTCATTTAGTTAGATACCGATTAATATTAATGTATCAACTGTTTGACAGAAAACCCGACACGAGCTCGGTTATTCCATGATAAATCTTTGGCACATGAGGATACTTACGAGCCTTTCTTGAGGTGAGCCCCTATGGTATAGCTTTATGACTGTATTTTGGTTCAGACAAGTATTGTTAAGGGGGATAAAGTCGCTTATTTGATCGTATGTGTTCTTTCTGCTTTGGGAAGGTCTAGGACTTCTTGGATTTTGCTCATTTCTTGTATTCTACTGTATCTATGGTGTCAAATGAACCTAACCTTTCCTAGTGATTGGAAATGGCTATTTTTCAAAAAAGAATTAATCTCGGTGTGTTATGTTTAGTGGGACATTTTCACTTGACCTGATGTTTCTGTCCTGTAAATAAATTGTAGTGGTCCAGCACAAGATTTCGTTGCTTTTTCTGTTCTATTGCCTTGGTCCTTGCTCGTTTTTTTCTGAGATCCAGAATTGAGTGATGATGAGTCAGTTTGTTAAACTAAATACAATCCTCCTGACAAAAGGGGAAACATATGCTCCATTGGGGGGAACTGCTTTCAGCTACAGGCAAGTAGTATTTGTTCTTCAACCAAATAGCATTGGCAATAACTTGGTTGGGGCTCGGTGAAACTGTATGAAAAAAATAGATGATCTTTATCAAACGACATATATAGAGACAAAGTGTTTAGTCAAAGTCACTGTATGCTTGATTTTGTCTGTTTATCTGCAAAAGTAGGCAAGCTAAAAGATATGTTCTTTTCAGGTTGCTGTGGAAGGGAAATTGGTTCATTCAAGAAAAAAGCTGCAAGATCCTTGCCTGGATAATAAGGTATTTAATAAAGCTTATCTATCATAATTCTATCATTTCATGTATGTAACATACAGCCTCATTTACATATAGTGCTAGGCCAAAATCTGGTGATGGTGTTATTGCTAATGGAGAAGCTTCGGGTTCAAAGAAACAGATTACTACACTTGATGATGTTCTCAAAGGGTTGGTGGAATGGCTTTGTGCTCAGGTTTCTTCTTCTTTTCTCTTTCTCTCGTTCTAGTTTATGTTGGTCTTGCATTGTTGTTTTAAGTGCTAGTTTTTTTTGTCTTGTAGGCAATGCCATTGTTAGAGCTAGAGCTCATATAACATTTATTTTGTGAAAATCAGCAATAACAATTCCACTCTCACCATGTCTTTGTTAAATTACGCAAATGCAAACACTAACACAAACAAACAATTATTCTGAGTAGGCAAAAAGTCTTTGATGTTGGCTAATAAGTTGATGCGAGTTTGATATTTAGGGAACCTTTATGTTGTGACATAGTGAATCCAGAAAAGCTTTTGATGTCCACCATGGATATTACAATCCTTGGCTTTGATATGCAGTTGAAGCAACCTTCTCATCCTACTCGTGGTGTTCCAATTGCAATCAGCTGCCTATCATCACTGCTTAAGGAACATGTTGTCAGATCGTCGTTTGTTCAGGCAGATGGGGTTAAGTTACTTGTCCCTTTAATCTCCCCTGCATCCACTCAGCAATCTATCCAGGTAACTATATTTTTAGGGGAAGTAATTTCCACTAGAGTTGTAAATAAGTATGGCAGTTTCCAAATCATGCAAAGTTCTTGGCAGAAAGGTGATTAGTGATTACTAGACAGACACTCTGGGGGTGAAAATAACTTTGAATTTCAAATAACTACTAAATCTGTTGATTTATATTGCTTCCTTGTTCTAAAGTGTGGGCTGGACAAATTAGTAACAATGAGATAGTTCTGTTTTAGTTGTCAGAAGAAAGAACAACTCTCTTTTTGCTATAATTTCTCAGTACCTAATTCCTGTGATTTGTGTGCTTTTAACCACAGATTTTGTATGAAACATGTCTCTGCGTGTGGCTTCTGTCCTATTATGAGCCTGCAATAGAGTACTTAGCAACATCTAGGACAATGCAAAGGCTCACGGAAGTGGTTAAGAGCTCGACAAAGGAAAAGGTGAGTTATGTTTTTTTGTCTGATCTTTAACTTGCATAAATGTGGTGTGATGCACATGCACTTGTTATTATGTTTATTTGACGGTATTATATCTTACAGGTTGTCAGGGTGGTCATATTGACGTTCAGGAACTTGCTTCCAAAAGGTACATTTGGTGCCCAGATGGTTGATCTTGGACTCCCACATATTATCCACAGTCTAAAAACACAAGCATGGAGTGATGAGGTAAGAAGACAATTTAAATACAAAGCCTGAGGACTGCTGCTTATTAGTTGTCGTGGGGAAGATGAATTTCTTTAATTTCTGCTAAAGCTACAGCGAGAAATTTGGTTAATAGAAGTGATGCCGATAACATTAGATGTGTTTTTAGTACTTGATGGTCATAGTTAAACTCGCTAAATTCTGAACTTGTAAGGACTTGCTGGATGCACTGAACCAACTAGAAGAAGGGCTAAAAGACAAGATCAGGAAATTGAGTTCCTTTGACAAGTATAAGCAAGAGGTTCTTCTTGGCCATCTTGATTGGAACCCAATGCACAAAGATGCCAATTTCTGGCGTGAGAATGTCACAAGCTTTGAGGAAAATGACTTCCAGGTATTTCTTCTTTTAACCTGTCTCGGTAATCAAAGGGCACAAAGCGGGCTGGTCCTCCTAATCACATGTTAAAACTTGTTGGATACAGATACTCAGGGTCCTCCTCACGATCCTGGACACGTCTAGTGATCCAAGATCGTTGGCGGTGGCATGCTTTGATCTATCACAGTTCATACAGTACCATGCAGCGGGGAGAGTGATCTTAACAGACCTCAAGGCGAAAGAACGAGTGATGAAACTGATGAACCACGAGAACGCCGAGGTCACCAAGAACGCCCTCTTGTGCATCCAGAGGCTTCTCCTGGGTGCGAAGTACGCTAGCTTCTTGCAAGCTTGATGGGAACTTTGCATGTTTCTATAATATGGAAAGTAAATAAAACACACACAGATTGTGTCCAAACAAAACATGCATCATCTGTTTATTATGTATCCTGGAAAATATCTGCTCTGCTATTGTATGCTTAAATAGATTATTTCTGGGTTGTTTTTTTTCCTTCTATTGTATATATATTCAATAAAAAGAGGCTCATTTGTTACAGAGAGACAATTTTGGGCCAAATTTGTTGTATTTCTGGGTTGTTTTTTTTCCCTTCTATTGTATATATATTCAATAAAAAGAGGCTCATTTGTTACAGAGAGACAACACATTAACTTAAAAATGAAAACAAATCTGAAAATACGGTTTTAACATCTCTATCTTTGTTTGCATATATCTCCTTATCTGCAATTAGTATCAATTATGCACAAATTTTAAAACTTATAGAATCACATAATTAACGATGGAAATGGGATAAAAGTTTTTAACCTCACCATGTTCATTAACACGAAGGAACCTCCAAGGTTTGGAGTATCCCGCATTCTCCTATCTTCCACTTGATATTGCTCCATCCTAATACATGTTTAGCTTAAACTGAAAATTCAATGAAAGCAGTTCTAAAATCTCCCAAAAGAAGAATTCAAAAGTCCAGCAAACAACAAACACCAAAGGTACCTTTTTATCTGCATCAGGTGGGAAATTCAATCTTGCTTTCAATACATGAATTTTAAAGTCTCAACAGCTTCTTCTCTTCCTCGTCTCTTATCTTCACCGTCCTTGTTTGCATATATCTTCTTCACTGCAATTAATTTAAATTTTAAACATAACCCAACACTGCACATTGATAATCTTTCACACGTACAACGTCATAAACTTCAAATAAATTAAAGATGAAAATGGGTTAAAATTTCTAACAGTATCCCATCGACGCTCATCTACATGAAGGGACCTCCAAGATATCCCCAAGTCTTTGATCTTCCAATTGCTATCATGAAGGGACCTCCAAGATATCCCCAAGTCTTTGATCTTCCAATCAGGAAGGGACCTCCAAGATTTGCTATAGCGTGTTTTGAACTCAAAGACAAGCTCGGTGGAAGTCACCTCCTCTGTTTCAACTTCAAATGTGTATATATGCTCTGTTAAAAGTGGCTGTATACTATAAAGGCTTGGTGTACACCGAACTTTGAGATCATTCTGTTTGTCCCTGATGTTAATCATTACTTCCATCAAACTCTTATCAGCACCAGTTTCTTCGTTACCCATAACCAGCATGAAACAAGCCTTAAATCTCAAGGATGTGGGAAGAGGCGACTCATTCAACTTGATTGTCAAGGAACCCCCAGAACTATCCGGTAACATCTCCAGGTGATTGAAGCAGGCAGGCACTTGTGTACATGATATGATCGCAGGATGAAAAGTCGATGTGTTCATGATAAGATCTCTGGCTTCTTGATTCAAATTGAAGCATTTGGAGAATTTGAGACGAATATCTGGATTGTTAAAGGTACAATCCAGTCTCTCAAGGGATTGACAATTATCTGCATCTAAGTAAGATAGGGAATCTGAAAGTTGGGGGAGTGATACCAGATTGTTGCAGTTGTAGAGCTTGAGTTTACGTAAACGAGACATTCCCTTGACCCATGGAGCAACCTCTTGTATATCTTCGTTCAACTGCAGCTCCGTGATGATGTCAAGAGCATGCGGGAATTCCTTGAGGCTTTCAAAGTATGAAATCCCAAAGTCATAAAGACGAGACCATGACATGATCGACAAAGGAACTTCTTTTATTGCAGTTCCTGTGAGCCTGAGATACTTAATGTTTGTGGAGATCTCAGGAAATCTTTTCAACTGGGAGCAATTTGTGAGATCAAGTGTACGGAGAGATTCCAAGTTGATATTTGTTGGAAGAGCCTCTAGCTTTGAGCATTCTCTCATTTTCAACTCAGACAATTTTTGAAGTTTTCCTATAGCGGATGGAACCTCCACAAGACTTGAGCAGTTGGATAGATCAAAAGCTACGAGATTAGTCATATCCCCAATAGAGGAGGGGAGTTCACGAGACTTGAGCATCCACTGATATTCAATCTCCAAAGATTTGTGGCAGTTCCAATAGAAGGAGGGAGCTCTAGTAGACTTGAGCAGTTGGATAGATCAAACACTTGGAGATTAGTGATATCTCCAATAGAGGAGGGGAGTTTCACGAGACTTGAGCATCCGCTAATATTCAATCTCTTCAGATTTGTGGCAGTTCCAATAGAAGGAGGGAGCTCTAGTAGACTTGAGCAATTTTGGAGAATTAAATCCTTGAGATTAGTCGCATTCTCGATATCGGGGAGCTCCACAACACGTGAACAATTATTGAGATACAATTCCTGGAGATTAGTGATATCTCCAATAGAGGAGGGGAGTTTCACGAGACTTGAGCATCCGCTAATATTCAATCTCTTCAGATTTGTGGCAGTTCCAATAGAAGGAGGGAGCTCTAGTAGACTTGAGCAATTTTGGAGAATTAATTCCTTGAGATTAGTCGCATTCTCGATATCGGGGAGCTCCACAAGACTTGAGCAATCGCTTAGAGAAAATTTATGGAGATTAGTTGCATTGATAGAGGAGAAAAGCTTCACAAGATTTGAGCAATTATCAAGACACAGTCGCTCAAGTTTGATTGCATCCCCAATAGATGGAAGCTCCACAAGATTTGAGCAATCTGTGAGATCAAATTCCCGGAGATTGGTCGCATTCTGAATAGAAGAAGGGATTCTCACCAGACTTGAGCAATTAACGAGAAACAATTTCCGGAGACTAGTTGCGTTCTCGATAGCGGGAAGCTCCACTATACGTGAACAATTATTTAGAGACAATTTCTGCAGATTAGGGGCATTGATAGAGGATGGAAGCTTCACAAGACTCGAGCAATCATCAAGATTCAGTAGCTCAAGTTTGGTTGCATTCCCAATTGAAGACGGAAGTTCCACTAAACTTGAGCAATTTCGGAGATTTACTTCTTCGAGATTAGTTGCTGTTGAAAGATCGGGAAGCTCTTTTAGATCTTCAGAACCACCCAAATCCATCCATTTGAGATTTTTAAGTTTCTGCATTTGACAAAGAAGATCATGTTGATACGATTGGCCTATAAATTTGGAGTTTGTTAAGAAAAAACATTTTCGGAAACAAATTATAGATTTTTACAAAATTGAAAATTGAAAGTTTTAATCAAAACTACTTACTTTAGTTCCTTCCCATAGCTTTTGAAGCTTGCTGTATTTCAGAGTTAGTTCGACGAGAAACTCCGGATTAAAAGTAGAAGGCAAACATATATCCTGGAAATAACTCCAATCCAGTAATCTAATCTTTTGAGAATGATAAATCAGACCTTCCAGTACTGACTGCAGTCTCTCAGTCTGAGCACGATTCTTATCCTTGATTCTAACGAATTGAAAATCATGCATTCTTTCAAGTGCTTTCTCACTTATATTCAATTCTTCCTCAGTCTTAGATAAATCTAAATTTATCCCTATAAAACGTCTACTATCCTGTAAAATGAGCCAAAAATAAATATAAGTAATGCTGGTTAGTAATCAAATAAACTCAATTCATAGAGGAGATGCAATGGAAAAAACTTACTGTTGTATCATCCTCAAGCACTTCACATATATCCCTTTCACCAACCAAAAGCTGACGTTTTGTAAAGCCATGACGAACGAATTGTTTACGGGAAGTTTCTCTTCCGAATTGTTCTAGCAAAGTATGCATCTTGATTGTTTCTCCATCAATGGATATGAGAGATTTCTGAGCTAATACGTAAAGACCTTGCCTCACATCCAAGAACTTTCCAAGAAGCTCTTTCACTTTGGTTGTTGATTCGTATATAAAAAGGCAGGCTATATAAAGAAATAGATATTTATCTTCGTCACATAAGGCATCGTAACTGAACTGTATAATGCTCCCTATTTTTCCGTCGAGGCTAGTTTTTAACCTTGGTAGTGCCCTTTCCCAGTCTGGCTTGGACATCCCTCGCAAAGCGGAGCCTAGAACCTTCAATCCCAAAGGGAGCTCACCAGCTAGAGCCATAACTTCCAAAGCTAGCTTACGGAAACCTTCATATGGTTGTTTCTGACCAAAGGCATTCATACAGAAGATTTGAAAAGCCTCGTCATTTGATGGAAAATCCACTTTGTAAACATGATTGATCCCACGGGCCTTCAAAACTCCTAGATCTTCTGTTGTGATAATAATCCGACTTCCAGGACCAAACCATTGAATTTCTTTCGCCAAGGCATCTAATTGTCCTGAGTGATCTACTTCATCAAGAACGAGAAGCACTTTCTTGTCTTTCAAACGTTCTTGTGCCACTCCTAAATGAGAAATCATTATATCTTTCTGATTGAAAATAAGAGACAACATTTGTTTTTGTAGTTTCAATTGTGCATTACGCTCATCCAAACAAAGTCTTGGATAGCATTCTCTGATATCCGCCATGATTGCAGCAAGTGGGAATCTGCTGGAGAATCGGTCAAACATACATGTAGCGATGGTCGTCTTACCAATCCCAGGCGGACCCCAAATCCCAATCATCCTTACTTCATCCAAATCTAGGCTTAAATACTTTTCCATCCTTTCCATATGAGCTGTTATCCCAACAAAATCATCGAAATCACTTGATGGTATGGATAAATTCAACATGTTTGAAACATCAATGGATATCTTTTCAATCATCTCCGCTTCATTGCTCCTAACATTGATTGATATCGAGTAAAATTGTTAATTAGTCTAGTCATGAACAATTCTCATATACACACATCCAAAACATATGCATTTTCTTGTCTTGATATTTATTTGAAAGCTACAAATAAACTCTAATAAGTAAATATTAATTAAGGAGAGTAGAAATCAAAAAGACAAACCAGTTGCGAGAATGCTCTCCGGCGATTATGGCCACATCCTTCAAAGCTTTTCTCCATCTCTCAATATGCTCTTTGGTTTTACCCTTACATGTTTTTCTGAAGGCTTTTCCAAAATCTCCGGTTTGTTTCTTTATGTCAGTTGGATCCACTTCATAAAAAATAGTCATGACTATCTGACCCAACACTTCCCTGCACTTCATGATTTCCGCTAATTCATCAAGACACCAGGAAGAAGAAGCATAGTTCTTGGAGAGCAAGACTATCGCAATCTTCGATCCTTTGATAGCTTCTTTGAGCTCAGGACCGATCGGCTTACTCCTCTCTATATTATTATCAATGAATGTGTCAATTCCCTTTCTTCTGAACGATTCCATGATGTGGCTAAGAAGGGTTCTTCGGACATCTGCCCCATGGAAGCTCGGGAATACATCATGTTTCCAGATTCGAGACACAGAAGTTAGAGGAGATGGAAGAGATAAAGAAGAAGCTTTAGTATCTTTGCTCTCTTGTTGGAATTTGAATTTTCTGAAAAGCATGAAGAAACCTATAGCGGCTGCGACTAAGACCAGGAAAAAAGAAGCAGAATTCATTAGTATGGTATAGAGTGAATCAAGATCTTAGATAGATGAAGGATTAAGAAAGAGGAAGAGGCTTTGTGTAAATGGATACACAACGTTGACTATATTGGCAGCCTGGTAGGGAAACTCCATGTATGTTTCCTTTACCATATATTATTGTATAAATGAAACTTAATTAATGACCAACATTATTGAGGGGAATAGTTTGACCCAAAAAAAAAAAAAAAAACTGGAGCACGTCTTTTCCGAATATAATTATCCGTTGCCCCAAAGGTCTTGATGAGCAAGACATTGGTTAGGCTGATTGTAACCAACATATACAATCAAGAACACATAACCAATAAATGGGCTCAATACACTAATTGAAAACAAATAAACCATCAGTATAATCATCAAGAACCAGTCCAATCAATTCGATTCCACAGTGAAGAGTAAAACCATCAGCATAATCTCACCGATGCATGAAACGACTAGAAATATCCAGAGAGTTTTGTAGTTGAAACAATTTGTGTTAATGAGGCTCTAGACCGTTGACGACTTTGTTTGCACAGAAACTCCATGATTGTTTCAAGGAAAATATAGTGAGATTTAGTGGAAAATGTTGCTAACGACAGAATCACTGCCCCTACATATGCTCCACCACCATTCACTGAATTTCTCGGAAGCCAAATATGATAAGGAAATATCAAACTGTCCACACATTCTTTCTCTCCTGATAATAATGATAGAACAAAAGAGTTAATAATATTCAATCGTGTAAACAGTGCCGCCCTCTATGATACATTAACATAAACAATAATATGTTCTTAAGAATATGTTCAGTTTAACAAGGTTTAAAAAAACAAATCAAAGATTCTCAGACTTTGAAATCATTAAGATGTCTATAACTATAAATGTATGTGCAAAGCTAGCAATCTCAATAATAGTAACAATAAAAGTGGGACTCTGAACTTGCTGTATCATCAACTTTCCACAGGGATACTATCCAGCAAAGACTCACAAGCATCTTCAAGCAAGTCCAGTACCTGTGAAAGAAACAAGTAGACCAAGTAAGAGATCAAGATTCATGTTTCCAAGTGAGTTTTGTCCAAACAAAACAGTAAAATTCGGGAATGGAAGGGTTACTTGGGAGTCTTATAGACTAAATCAACCATTTTGATAGACAACCTCTTATGGTGTAAACCAAATTTAATATTTGCATACAGCTTCTTTAGTCTCTAATGGTGATTACCTTCTCAAAACCTTGAGCTCCACCATAATATGGATCAGGAACAAACTTGTCATTGTGTTTCTTGCAATAAGAACACATTAGCTTAACCTGAAAATTTCAAAGAAAGTGTTTTGAAAATCGCCTAAAAAGTGTTCCAAAGTGTTCCAAACAACAACAACAAACACTAACGGTACCTTCTTATCTGCATCGGGCGGGAAATTCCCTCTGTTTTTCCACACATTATAAGCCTTCAATATATCCTCTGCAAACATCAAACATTCAAATTCATATACATTTCAATTCTCCATAACTAATCGATCTAACCATACAATTCCTTAACGTTGAATAAATTACTATATGCTCTACCTTTGTTCTGGTCATCCATTGCAAGAATGAGATCAAATTCCCTGAAATCAGATGCCTTAATCGGTCTGGATAATGATGTTAACTCAATCCCACGACGTTTCGCAGCACTTCTCATTCTTGGATCCGCCATATTCCCCTTTTAAAAGAACATTTTCACAAAATCATAAACATAAATTCCAAAGTCTCCACTCTACTGCTCCTTACTCCCACCAAAAAAAAACCATAAATTCGAAATCAAGCATTTCTGCATCTGAAACCATCATGCACTAATTGTTCCAACCCTAAAAATAGATTATTATTTTTGTTCTTCCCCATTCAAAAGAGCAGTTTCACAATCAAAATTGATTCAGAGTCTCTGCTGCTCCTAACTCCACCAAATTACATCCACCAAAAACCCTAAATTCAAAATCAAAACTTTCTACATCTGAAAGCATCGTATCATTCACTAATTGTGCAAATCAACCATCAATCTTCTTTCACAAACATAAAATTAGATTATTTATTTTGTGTTCTTCTCTTTGATTAGTATACCTCGTGATAATCAATGGTTCCAGCGGAATCGATTATGAATTTGGAATCGAGACCTCTCTTCTTCACAATATCCCTAAAGACACCTTCAGCTGCTGGACTCCGACAAATGTTTCCGAGACAGACAAAAAGAACAGAGAAAGGTTTCGTTTCGCTGCTCTGCGTCGGAGTCGTCTCCATTGAAGATGATGCAAAGCACCGAAGGGAATGAGAAATTCTGGGTTTTGCTCGAAAACACGAAACGAGATTCGGGTTTTTGTCAGATGATCGAAAATGAGAAGGAAGAAAGTGAGTGTGGTGGCAAAATGGTAAATAAGAAGGGATTGTTGGAGAAGTGGTGAGGTTGGGACAGTACATCATTCCCCTGAAAAGTTGGAGATTTGGGATATGTACGAGTTTTCTTCTTCTGCTCTTTTAACTCTTTTTCCGTAATAAGCAGAGGAATAGAGGGGTATATTTGGGAATATACATAAACAAATGTTTAATTAGGAGTAGATAGATGAGGTTTAGATTTAGAATTAGAGCACCACTTTGTTACTGTAATGCAACATATTTTTGTTGTATATAATTCGCAATGTTCAGGTCCTCTCAGAGTCATCCACAACTATACAAGTTATAGATGTGAATACAAGTTATAGTTGGTAATACAACTATACTCTTAAGAATATGTCTTTTGGTTAGCACTTAGCATCATAGTTTTTATGATTTGTCCTGTTTTGGCCGACGATGTTTAACTTTTATGATTTGTTTGTTTCAGTTCTTATGTTGTGTTGTTATATAGCTCTGCTTCTATGACAAGTTACGTCTCATGTTTCAGTACTTTGTTGATGGATAAATGCGTTACTTGTTGGCCCAATTGTACATTTGTCGAATATTACACTTACACAAATGGTCTTTAAAGTTTTCTTATGAAGAGTGAAAACGATAAACTCATGCCCAAGGTTTTCAACAGATAGCCCATTTCAAAAAGTTTAACAAATTTATTACCCGAAAAACAGTAGCTAGTAACCACAATTAGGCGGGCAGGTCAGCATAGTCTCATGTAGGCAACCTACATGACCACGGTTGACAACAGTTACAGTTTTTTTTTTTTTTTTTTTCACAAAAGTGGTATCATTTTATATCAACTGTTGTTGTAAAGTACAACTGTGGAAACTTCCACTTACCAAACAAGTCATTCTTGGAACCTTACAATGGATAATCCAAAAAAACAAAAGATCCATTGTTGACATAGAATCACATTATGTTCCAAAGTAGCTTGCATCTGAAACTTCTTTCTACTTAGCAAACCTTAGAGCAACAACAATGGTTGAGTTCTTAAAAGGATCTTTAAACATATTTTAATCATAAATTATGACAATTTTAAAGTTAAGAGTTTTTGATGAATCCTTAAAATTTTATTTGTCCAATGGTAGAGTCTTTAAGTGGATTCTTAAAAAAAAAAAAAAAAATTGTCTCTTTGGATCTGGTTCCTCAAGTGATGGAGGAGACTGCATTTGTGGATTCTAGTCCTTGTTAGTAGAATCTTTGGTCACAGAAGCATGCCAATCAAGCATGGCCTTCTCTCCTCCCCGAAGCCATTCATAAGAAGCATGCCAATCAAGCATTCTGTGACATTTTATCTACAACCACAAGCAATTAAACTAACAGATTCTTGAAAAACCAAAAAAAATATTTATCAAATCTACCAATCTTGAAGAAGAAAGCTTATTACACACTCTCAGAGGAATTTCATCAAACACTAACTAGACATCAATTCTATATGACAATTCCACTCAAATAGAAACTCTATTAAAAGCCAATCCTAAGCTAAACTCAATGCTACAAAGCAAAAAGACAACAACAAATGTCGCTTAATCAAATACAAGTTTGAGTCTAAAATCGTAATCAAAAGCAAAATATATAGCTCTATGTAGTGATTGATTCAGGTAAGATCTTGATCTTATTGCTTGTTGTTTGCGTTGAAATCAGTACAGAAGAAAGAAAACGAGAGAAACAAGCGATTTCTTCACTCGAGAATGCTTCACTCTCAAGAGGAATCTACAAGATTTTAGGTTACGCAAGAAGAGATTCAAAGCTACGTACGTACCTACATGAGTCTCCTAGAGGTTGATGAAGAAGACGAAGAAGAATCAAAACCAGAGAGAGAAATAGAAATGGTGAATTCAACAATTATTTGTTTTCTCATTAGACAGACCAATGGAAAGTTGACACGTATGAACTCTTAAAACCAAAAACAATCCTAAACTAAGGTACGTTTCTTACCAAATTTTATATTTTTGATTTAATTTGGGCAATTTTCGTAAGGATTCATGGCCTAAGAAACTCTAAACCCCCCCCCCCCCCCCATTGGACTTGCTCTTATCTGTTCCTTCTCTCAAAGAGCTTCATCGAACAAATCTTTTTATTCAAACCCTTTTGACTGCCCTAAACGATTAAGCAGCATCGCCAAAAAGTGATGACAGAATCAGTAGAGTGATTTAACGTTTTTTTGGAGGCTTCAGAATTCCTCCTTGTTGAAGCTCAGATCCTTTTTGCTTCTGGTTCACATTCTCATCTTCTTGTTTGTCAGTTTGACCTTGTTTACGTTTTGAAGAATCCTCCTGCTGAGAAGCTTCACCACTGTTAACTCTCCTTGAACATTCACCTGTTTCAAATCTCCGTGTTTCTGTTGGTGTAACCTCATGTACCTCCGCAGAATTAGAGTTAGAACTTGAAGAAGCTTGATGTCTTCTGACTGCATTTTGTGGATAGGGCACAGTATACTGGTGGAGATTAGCTATCCTTGAAGAGGATAGATACCTTCTAGCATCCATAGTTTCTGCAGGATTCAAAGGTGGTGTAGCAACTCTTGGAGGGATTGATCTAGGTGCAGGGAAGGAATAATCTGAATTTTGAGATTGAGAGTTCATGTTTGACCTCTGCTGCTCATCATTAAGAACCCTTCTTTCCCTTCCCGCAAACATATGATCAATATCCTCAACTCTTCTTTCATGTAGAGGCTGACCATAGGGACACTGACTTCTTTGATGATTAAATCTCAAACAGTTGGTACAAATTCTCCTGAGACGTTCATATTGGAATCTGATTACAACTGATTCACCTGCATCAAAGCGAATCCTTTGAAAGAACCTTAACCTATCTGAGATTCCAAACCTAACTCTAACTCGAATATAGGCTATCTGATTGGTAGTGATCTCATTAAAGTCCATGTGAACTATCTCCCCAAGATCTTGAAAAATTTCTGACACTGTTTCTACACACACATAATGCAAAGGGATTCCTCTTATTTGAACCCATAGATCTATTGTTGTCCGAAAGTTTAAACCAGGGAAATCCACCCATCTCTGAACTGCTATAAACCAGTTATTGAACAACCAAGGCTCTCTTCGTTGAGCAGAAACAAGATCCAATTCAGATTGAAACAAGAACTGAACATACGTACCATCTAGAACTCTGCCCTGAACAGAGGAAGTTAGGCCCCAAGTTCTTGGTAGTGAAGAGATAACCGTGAAAAGGTTTTGAGATCTTGGATTCAG